CACACACACACACCCCCACCCCCACAATTATGTGACGATGTCTAACTAAACGATCAGATATAATAAGGAATGAACTATAAATAGAAAAACTAAAATAAACTTTTAAATGTGCACAAGTTTCCTAATGCTTTGGCTCACCTTCTTTTTAAATAAGTTTAGTGAGCAACATCAAACTTTACAAGCTGTAAGGAATGTAGAATCTCATTCCTTTGATCAGCTTTCTCTGATCATGCAGCTGGCAGCAGGACAATCGTACCCACAAAACTAACTTTACACTCTACCAACTATTTACACAATTATTTTATTGAGAATTTAAAACAGTAAAAATGAACAGGTTTTGTTGCATTGATTTCTTAACTAGTTATTAAAGCAACTAAATACTGATAATTAAATGCATTTTAACCACTTTGCCTAAATTACACATTTTATTGCATAAAGATTGTCCCAAGTTGCTTTCCTTACTTGCACACATGCATTAGGCTTTTTTTAAATGCACTTTTCCTCTGGTGTTTTTGGGAAATTCTTACATTTATTTTTAATCCACTGCCATCTATGAACTTGTTGCGGACAAAGCTTCAAATAATTAGTCATTTTTTACATTTAAACAACCACATTTAATCTTAATTTCATTGGATGTTTTATAGTGTGGTTGGTAACTAATCAAACATGTCATCAAACCTAGAGGCTGTTGGATTGTGTCCATTAGCCTGTATTAGCCTGTGTGACTAAATCTGGCACTTCTGCGTGCTGTGGTTCTTATACTCGTGACGGATGAAGGTGCATTTTCCCAGTTTTAAATAAAGATTTTTAAACTTAAGTTTGACTGTTTGAGTGAGGAATAAAAAAAAGAAAGTTACTATAGGAAGGAGAAGATTACTATTTCCAGCTGGGGCTGGTATAAACCTCGGCACTGGCTCCCTGGGAGGACTGGGAAAGTTAACAGAGGAGGTGGTTGTGGGTAATGTCGTACAGCAACCCTCACACGTACTCATTATAAGCCACTTCTGAGGGCCTCGTAAACACCACAGAGCCATGCAGTTTGAAAAAAAAACTTTCACAATGGAAACTAACGCCATTAGGTAGTGAATTTTACTGTTCAGACTATCATTTAGAATTAGACAAATAAACACCTGAGAAAAACCTGGTAAAATATGTTGTAAAAAAAGAGAGAGTTTCTTGGTGCCAAATTTGGAGTCAGCTTGTAATGAAACAGCAGGTGAAAATTAAAAAGAAAAGACGTTCATATGTGATGCTTTGTGATGGTGACACACTGAAGGCTGAATTTCTAAGAAACCTTTGAACGTCGCTTTTCCACTAAATTCCTCCGTTCTCCCCTCACCGAGCAAACAGTGGTTCCTCTAAAAACCTACAATCATCAATAACTCGCACCAGATGTTCCTACTGTACGAAGGAGAGAAGATCCTCCACCAGAAGTTATGACTCGCAAACACGGCGCATTTCTGCTAATTTCATCAGAAACATTCTCCTCTGTACTGTTTTTATCTGTACAGAATTCAGGACAGGATGCTCCTGCCTCAGGATACCTCCATCTCTGCATCATTCATTCTCTTCCCTTTTTTTTCCTTTCTTTCTGTCTCTGTCTTT